AAGAGTAGCAATGAGTGGCCTCTTTCCTCTCACCTCCATTTCACTGTAGGATTCAATCACTTCAGTGATAACAAGACACAGGGATCTTAATTTTCATTCAAAAGTAGGAACCATGAGGGTGGCTTTTGATTGTAAAATCAGCCTCATGGTTCCTGATGGGCTTTCAGCCTTAGGCCAAAGCCTAAGAATGAAATGAGCTGTATCCTAGTCCTGCTTTCCTACGTGACGTTAGCACAGTCCCTAAACGTATCTCGCTGCTTCAGCTCATACAGCTGTAAGTTAAGAAAAAAAAGCTGTTTGAGAGTAATGCAGAGAGGCTAAATTCATCAGCACTTTGAAATGAACTTGCAGTAATAAGCGCTGGTATTTTCATTGCAAAATGAGGCCTTTTGCTGCGAAGCGTCAATGCAACAGGATCGTCTACTGACAGACTTGTCAGAATTTTTAGTCAGGCTGGAGTACTAGAACATGCATTTGGCTAAACTGTTTAAACAGAATATATTTCTTGCCATAAATTTTCTATGCTACTGTGACTACAGAAATTGTCCTTCAAAAGCCAAACATGACTGCCTGATCTGCAGGTAGTACGGAGTAGCTCTGCTACTCTGTTTCTCTAAAATCTAGACAATTACGCTGATTTTTCTGCCTGAGGATTCCACCTAATAACAACAACCTATTTTTCTACACTGTGACTTGAGTTTGGCTGCATACGTTTCCATTCCAGTATCATTCACAGTTGCTTTTAACTTAAGCAAAAAGCAAGATTTTATTTCAGCTAAGACCAGACATATCAAATTCAACTGAAAGAAGTGTTGGGGAGGGGAAAGGAAGGGCATTTTGGCTGGGGAGAAAACTGAGAAGAAGGACTATAAACAGAGTGAAGTGGAAATTTTATCTGAGCCGTAACAATATCTTTGCTGCAGCAGCAGCGGCAGCTAGCAGGCACAACTTTCTGGACCTAATCTCTTCAACCGTTAGTTTTTCATCCGTACGCTCTGCTGTGCGCTGGGGAGACAGGGAGAGACCGGGATCGCTGCTGCGGCCGCACAGCCCATGCCAGGAACCTCTTGGTACACTGGCTGCATCACCGCGTCCCAGCCCGAGTGAGCTCATGAGGCTCAGCTGGCCTCGGAGAGGTAGCACGGACATGTAATGAACACAACTGTCACGGAAAGTCTAAGAGGGACGCTTGTTCCACAGACTGTCCGGACAATGAAGAATTGGCCTGCCACCCCCTCTCTCGCCCCCCAGCTGATGCCAAGGCGGGCGGCGGGGCCGTCCGGCCGCCCGCCGACAGATGAATAGCAGGTCTGTTCCAGCAGCTGCGCGTCCCGGTCCGGCGAAGAGAGAGTCTCCGGGAGCGCAGAGTGCCCAGCTCCGTGCGCAGAGGAAGAGATCTGGGGGCAAAAGGATGGCCTCGGACGGGGAGAGCATCAACCTTCAAGTGAGTCCATCTCGGGGAAATACCCGTGGGAGGGAGAAGTGGGAGGGAAGATCCCCGGTTTGAGGGAAATATCCACAGCTGCGCGTCCCGGTCCGGCGAAGAGAGAGTCTCCGGGAGCGCAGAGTGCCCAGCTCCGTGCGCAGAGGAAGAGATCTGGGGGCAAAAGGATGGCCTCGGACGGGGAGAGCATCAACCTTCAAGTGAGTCCATCTCGGGGAAATACCCGTGGGAGGGAGAAGTGGGAGGGAAGATCCCCGGTTTGAGGGAAATATCCACCGCCCCTATCATTCCCTCCTCAGCTTTGGCAACCAATTTCACTTGAAAATTCAGTGCTGCTTTTTTCCTCTGTTCTCCTTTGAAGAAAAGCTAGCGGCAGGATCTCTGCCCTGTTCTGCCAGGAGCTGTTATGAGCCTTTTCCCGAAAGAGTGAGGGTGAGAAGAGGGGTAATACTAAAAAGAGCTGCTTTTTGCGGGAAGGTGGGGCAGCAGGGGCAGAAGTTAGCCTTCAGCTCTCAGAAGGAGGCAGCACATACTTTACAAGCTGCAAAAATCTGAGCCGTTCCTCATCTCACAAAGCCTCTCTCTGTTTGGCAGAAAATGCTCCCAATCTGGAGGGGAGGAAAAGAAATAAATACAGCAAATGCTGAGGGAACACAGAGGCCAGGGTTTCCTATGTGGGGTTTCTAGAGAAACAAAACTTCTTGGTGACTCTCTTTCAGTTCTCTGTGTTCCTCTTCTGAGTGTTTGTGTTTTTTAAGAAGGGTGTTTCTTGTGCTCAGCATGTGTTCTAGGAAAGGGCAACTACCCAAGGGTTTGGAAAAAGAAACTATCGGAGATGAAATGGAATCAAAACCCCAGATCACAAACACCCGTCAAACTTCAGAAGTTCAAGTCCAGATCTGCACTTCAGACAACTCTGGAGAAGGGGAGGATATGCCCCGGGGCCAGCTTCCAGCCCTGGGAGGGTCGGCAGCAGGGTCCAAATTTTGCAGCTGATTTTTCTGTCTGTAATGGTCTTAACCATCCACAGACTTGAAAATGGGGAAGTCCATCTGGGGTCTCAATTTTTATTTCTTTGGCCTATGTCAAAGAAGCTAAAGTGGAAAGATTTGTGCCCTTGGAAATAATCAGGACAACTATCCTTAACTAGAAAGAAGAATCGAGACTCCCTGATCCTGCAGAACATAACTCCGCTGAGACAAAAGGTGCAGAGCAGTTTTTTAAGACCTGGGAGCAATTATGCTCAGATAACAGACACAATAACTGAGGAAGATACACAGGTAGCTGTGACAGTTGGTGAAAATGTACTCTGTTTATGACTGAGGAAGAGAGAGGTTAGGCTTTCCTAGAACTAGATAATAAGGGGAAAAATATAGAAACCAGTAAGCCAGGAACTGGGGGCAAAGAGAACAAGAAAATTATGCTGAATAAAAAGTCAGATTAACTCCTTGTGTATTAAATCTTTCCAGCCAATGGAAAGTTTGGGGTCTATAGTGGATTTGAAGCCAGGATTCATAGATGAAAAAAATCAGCTTCACCGATTAAAATGCTCATGAAGTTCTGAAAAATCTGGATTTTAGATTTTTCTCTTTCAACCCAAGAGAAAGAGCCAAAAGTGATCCTTAGCATCTGCAGCCTTTACAATAGGCAAATAAGTAAGCCAAGAAAGTCAAAGGTTCCTTGAGTTACAAAATTGAAAAGAGCATACCTATCTGTTTGTAGAGCAGGAAGGTGTGGAGTGTTTCTATCCACCCGTACACAGGTTGCCAGAAGAAAAATCACGCTACTGAGATTTTCTTTGTGACACCTTACAGGGATTTCATGAAGCCACCAGACAGTACAAAATGTAGGTGAATGCACACAGGTTCCTGCATGCTTATGATCAGGAAATACACAGTGCTGGCAGGGGAGGGAAACACATAGCTGAGACAAGCAGAGGGTCCTAGCATGATGTGACTTGAGAAGTGTGAGGTGGGGGAAGGAGTGATCAGTGGAAGGCAAAAAAAAGTCTTTCAGCTGCAAGTACATTCAAAAGCCTCTTTTGAATCCCTGCTCTGCGCACCGAATGCAGAGCAGGTGTCTTCTTGGAAGTTCCCAGCTGTGGGTTTACGAAGAGCTTGTGGGAGAGACAAGCAGAGGGTCCTAGCATGATGTGACTTGAGAAGTGTGAGGTGGGGGAAGGAGTGATCAGTGGAAGGCAAAAAAAAGTCTTTCAGCTGCAAGTACATTCAAAAGCCTCTTTTGAATCCCTGCTCTGCGCACCGAATGCAGAGCAGGTGTCTTCTTGGAAGTTCCCAGCTGTGGGTTTACGAAGAGCTTGTGGGAATGTGCACGGCATGCTCTGGGGTAGTAACGCATGACTCACTTCTCCTCAAAGAGCTCCTGGATGGAGGAGCAGGAACAGTCATGAAAGTTAACTATGATACAATACAGAAATAGGAATTTTTATTTATAGGGAGAGGGTCCTGTACCCGAAGCAGTTGCACAGTACCTACTAGCATTTCTTATAGAACATTTACATAGCCAGGCTTGACAGGTAACACGAGAATGAAAACAATATGAGCCTCTGGCCTCGCATAGGAGAGAGCTGAAGGGGCAATCGAGATTTAAGAAGGCTCTAAGGGGAACTGATCAACCCCCAACATTTTTGCTCATCCTAAAGTATGAGAACAGGAGCTCACTCAGCAAAATTAAAAGTCTCCGTAACAGGAGATGCTCCCTCACCCAGCCTGTGGAATTTGCCATCTCCTGGAGCCGGTCAGAAGGTCAAATATTGGAGCAAGCATTGAGAGGTCAGGAGGTCCAGTAACAATATTTACAGTTATGCAAGCTAAAAAAGGTACTTTCAAATCCCATAAGCCAATAGCAGGATAAAAATAAATACCCTTTTCAGTTCCCTACAGGCAATGGCACAATTGCTGACCAGCCTGCAAGTGGTATCTTGCATTAGAGAAGTTGTACACTAACTGCCCGTAAGTGAGACCTAGGACTTGCTTTTTAACAGCAAGAAGTATTTCCCATTAATTCACTTTCTCCCTCACAAAAATTCCCTTGTTCTGTGTGTTTCAAAGGAGTCTGTTTTCCAGTTCTGACTTCTAGGAAGACTAACAAGATCTCAAACTGTGCACAGAGAGATGCTAAAAGAAAATGGTGCTGAAATGGAAAAAAAAGCCACAAGGCTGTAGAGCAGCCTCACCAAATCTATGCCAGCCAGCCAACTGCCGAGACAAAAGATAAAACTTGAATTAAAATCTTCTAATTAAAAAGATTAATTTACCTATTAAAAGATAAAACTTTAGCATGAATTAATTTGAATGATGCATTTTTCTTCCCAGACATCTCTATTTGTGGCTTCCAAGTGAAACTTTCACCTTCCCCTATTAAGCATCTGCCATTGATGAGAAACCAGGCAGGCAGACCAGTAACCCGATGAGATACAACAGAGTATATCCTGAGATAGCTGGGATCAGAAAAACACCTTTGTGATAGAAACAAATAAAAAAACCACAACAAGATCCCATCACCAATTTCTTTTTACTTTGGGAAACAAAGGTTTATAAATTAGAATAGAAGTATGGCTTTGATAGTCACACTCTGGCTGATTTATCTGCACTTCTTTAAGCTATTATTCCCCCTGGCTCTCGCCTCCAACCCTTCCATAGAGATTTGCAGGGGGGAAAGAGGGGGAGGGTAACGTACAGGATGGTTCTTTTCAGCAGCAAAAGACCCATTAAATCTGTTTAGCTGTGTACCTCAGCTGCTGCAGTTCACGATCTGGCATCTTAACACAACCCTGTTTCATCGGTGATTTAAGCTAATGTACCAGACTTTGAATGGGAGCGACTGAGACAACATCCGTTCCACCACTCCCACCACAGCGGCAGTAGCCAGGGGAAGTCTGTGGACAGCTGAAATCAGTAACACTCAGGCATTATTGCCACGGCTAAGTCTGTCAGAGCACCAGATGAATATTGCAGAACGGAGCAAAGATTGGGGCTGATACTGAATGGCTCCGGAGTTTTATTAAGTTTGTATTTTTATACTTTCTTATTCATGAAGGGGTGTTATGTTCTGTATAAATGGGATTTTAAGGGGTGTGCGCCGGATGAATGTCATCCATATTCGTGTTGCAAAAGAGGCTATATCTTGTATGTTGCGTCTTTCTTTTTATAGTTGCTTATCCTTTGGATTAAAAAATTCACAATCCTCTGGGACGAGAAGCAGAAATAATACCTCACCATTTAGGGAATCATTCACACATCAAAAGTAAAAAGAGTAAACAGATAAAATAATCATTCTGGAAAATAGACCCTACACTCAAATTTTTTGGCAGAAGCTGTTTGGGGAATACTTTGAATGCAAAATACATCTGTGGAAATAAAGACAGGTTTACCAGCAACTTGCAAGGAAAAAAGACTTTAAATAATTGGATAATTTACTTCCATTGCTCATTTTTTGACCAGATCTACAGCAGCAAGATTTTGGACAGGGAGATAAATAGCGTTAGCTATAGGCCTGACAGTGGGGACTTTTCCAAAATGCCCACAAAACAAATGGAAAGTCCCACTTACCACTGTAAATCCCATCTCCCACATCCCACTTTCAGTCTAGGCCTGATGAGGAGATGCAGCGAGTGTGCTCACAACTGAGTTAGACTTTTGGTTTTGTGGTTTTTTTGTGGCTCTAACTCGTGCCTCGAGGCTGTGATGTGCTTACAAGTTCTTGGCTTGGGCACGTATTTGCCTGCTTCTGCAGTAACAGCCAGCTTGTGCTTTCTAGTGCCGTAGGACCTTTGCTCTCCTTCAGCGATTTCCTAGAACGGTGGCAGTCTAATGTCGCCAACCGAGCAGTGTCCCTGTCCCGATGGACTTCAGTAGCTTTATTTGGGTTCTGTGATTTGGGCCTGGGTAATGACAGTCTGCACTGAGAGAGAGAAAGAGCCTTTCAGAAAGAAAATTGCGAGTGCTTCAGAAAGAGCCATCCCTGTGATATCCCTATAC